ATTAGCACCTGCAGTTTTTAGATTTTTCTTTAACCACCCAAGGTCTTTCCACATTCATTAGTCACTTTTCACTTTTTAATTATTTGGGGTGCTAGGGATCAACCCAGAACTCTATCACTGATCTACGCCAGGCCCTGTGGTGTTTTGCTGATTAGTGTTTGCCTTATCCAGAACGAATCCATATATTAACATCATTAACCTCTCCATGTGTTGCAACTGTTTTTTTTTTTTTTTTTCCTGTTACCTTCTGCTGTACGAAAGCTACAGATTTCCTTCCTTGTTCCTTTTGAAGTGAAATCCTGTTGAAATAAGAGCGGCAGGGCTGCGTCCCCGGCACCCGGCCCCCCGCATGGCTAGTTTATACCCAGAAATAATTACACGGAAACTGTATTCTTTCAAACACTGCCTGGCCCGGCTAGGTCCAGTTTCTTATTGGCTAGCTCTTACATATTGTTCTAACCCATTTCTAATATTCTGTGTAGCCCACGAGCTGGCTTACCAGGGAGGATCTTAACCTGCGTCTGTCTGGAGCGGGAGCATCATGGCGACTCTTCCTCTAACCTTCTTTCTCCCAGAATTCTCTTCTGTATACTCCGCCTACCTAATTTTCTATCCAATAAAATGGGCCAAGGCAGTTTCTTTATTAATAAGAAACTATTCCCACATCATTTCCCCTTTTTCTGTTTAAACAAAAAAGAAAGGCTTTAACTTTAACAGTAAAATTACATATAACAAAACAGTTATCAAGTAAGAATTACAGTTACAATATTTATATCTATTTTATCTCTCACCATAACTAAGGAAAACTATAACTATTCATTCTTCAACTCCATCAAAGACTCCAGAAGGATATAATAATACTTAAGTAACAAGAAATAAGAAAACTCTAGAAATGACAGAGACATCTCGCTGCCTGGACAGTCACCCAAAGTTCCTCTGTACCGTTGGGGCATCCATTTTCGGCCTACAGGCCCATGTTATGCAGAGACATTTCCATGAAGCAGGAAATTTCAAAGACAGTTCAGTCATTTTCTGCTGTGTCCTGCAGAATGTCTCACAGACTCTTTCATGAATCAGGAACCCCGAAAGACCATCTCACCTTTAGGCAAGTCCAGTAGTCCTCTCTCTGCGGGTTCTGTGTCCAGTTTATGCAACAGTCCAGGCAAGAACAGTTTCTTGCCCAAATGGCTATCAAACTCCATAAGGATCCTCTTCGATGCCCATCTTCCTCTTGTAGTAGCTGGTGCTGCCAGGAGCAGACGTGTCTCATTGTCATGAAAAGTCCTAAGTTATTAAAATATTTTAAATGCCATATTCTGCAGTCTTTGAGAGATATGAAGAATGTCTATCTAACTGAAATATATCTCTATATATCTAGAAAATCTAATTAACATGACTACAAGCTTAACTATTAGCAATGATTATCCATTAACAACCTATATTTCCTAATTATACATTACATTTTTAAATGAACTACACAATCACAATACCTTAATCAAGATCAGAAATACATATACATATAACAAAATTGACCATAAAATCCATACCAATGCAAATTATTCATATCTATATCATATTCCCCTTTAAATGTAAAAGAACAGTTATAAACAATATTTGGGAACATGGGTGTAGTTTTTTTTTCTCCAAACTGCTTCCTGCTGAATAGGGGCGTCGTTAATTAGGTTGTTCATGATATAACCTGTGTGCTAGTTTCATCTCAGTTGGCAGTTGAGCAAAGCAATTTTTTGAGGGTATTCACAGCAACTTTCAGGAGGGCGTGGTCTATCATACCAAATCGGAATAGAAGAAATCCATAGGGTCTGGTCCTCTGTGAAAACAAAAGGACTTTTCCAAAGCATCATAACCTTAGATCCAAATTCTGAAGTCAAGATACCTTTAGAACATATGTGCAGGTTCAGCTTAGCAGCCCATATAATGGAATGTCTCTCTGTACTTAGCTCCTTCACAGTCAAAAATTTTAAAGAAAACACAATGTACATAATCCAGATTCTCTGTGAATTTTCCATTTTTACGTGGCTTATTTTTCTTTATTTCTTTTAATCTATAACTATCTGTACTTCTGTATTCTGTCTCTTTAAAGACTTTACCCTTTTTCTTTTTAAGACATTAACTTTATTTTTTATATTCTTTTTTCTTCTCTCTCCCAAGCCTACGTACATTCATCCAACAGTGTCTGAATCTGTTTTATTGTGAATCTGTAACTTTTTTACTATCCAGGAGCACTTTCTTTTGCGCCTTTAAATCACTAAGCGCTTAAGAATCTAAGCTGTGACATTCCTAGGTCAAAAACAGGTACTGTATGCTGGCTCCGCCCAGTCCAACATGACGGAGCCGCTCGTGCCTCTGATCCTTGCACATTGCACCATTAGCATGGCGGAGCTGCTTGTGCCTCTGAGCTGCGGCACACAATGTCCTCCTTTTTAGGCACACAGCAGTCTAGTTGCCATCAAACAAATCGTAGCACTTTAACCCAAATGCTCCATTCATAAGCTCTGTCTCCCGCCGGAGCCAGACAGAGATCACAATGGCAGCACAGCCCAGAAAGCCGGCATTTTAAAACAGCCAGTTTTTTCCTGCTGCCGAGTCAGGACAATTTCTTTGCGGCACACAACCCAGAAACAGCAAAAAGCTGTCTTAAATTCTCTCTCTCTCCTTTTTAAGCCCTCTCAGGTTTTTAAGTGGATTTAGCCCATCACGTCTGGGCGCCATCTGTTGAAATAGGAGCGGCAGGGCTGCGTCCCCGGCACCCGGCCCCCCGCATGGCTAGTTTATACCCAGAAATAATTACACGGAAACTGTATTCTTTCAAACACTGCCTGGCCCGGCTAGGTCCAGTTTCTTATTGGCTAGCTCTTACATATTGTTCTAACCCATTTCTAATATTCTGTGTAGCCCACGAGCTGGCTTACCAGGGAGGATCTTAACCTGCGTCTGTCTGGAGCGGGAGCATCATGGCGACTCTTCCTCTAACCTTCTTTCTCCCAGAATTCTCTTCTGTATACTCCGCCTACCTAATTTTCTATCCAATAAAATGGGCCAAGGCAGTTTCTTTATTAATAAGAAACTATTCCCACATCAAAATCCCTCTTAATTCGGTCAGGGAAAAGAAACAGAAGCAGCCCTCCTTTCCATCTGCAGGCCCCACCATCATGGAGTGATGGGGGCATGTACGCCGCAGCAGCACACAGCTAAGGGCTGTCACAGTCGTGGAGGAGGAGGGTCTCCTGAGTCACTCAAGACTTTAAGGAAGAGTTCAAAGTCCCAATTAGACCCTGAAGGAGCTGGGGCTTGAAGGAGTGAAGAGTTAGTGAATCCCTGGAGGCACGGAAACAAAGAACAGGCAAGCCAGGGAGTAACAAATCCTGTCGTGGTGGAGTACAGAGAGATAAGTTTTCTCAGCTTTCCCGTCAATCAAGTTCCCTAGATCCGGCTCTCTTCCTGCCCGAAGCTTGCTCAGCACTTTACAATACCTGGACAATGAAGTGGGAGCTTCGTAACAAGCCTTTTCCATCTTCATACTCCTGCAGTATGTAATGCTACCCTACCTTTAAGTTACACACAAGTAAACTGGCTGACTAAAGTTAGTAATCTGAGGCACAGCTTACAATTTTTTCTTCCCCTCCTCCCCCCAAGGCTTCTCTGTGTAACTTTGGGATCTGGGATCTTTCCTGGAACTTGTTCTATAGACCAGGCTGGCCTTAAACTCACGGAGATCTGCCTGCCTCTCCCTCCCAAGTACTGGGATTAGTGTGCACTGGCTGCTCTTCCACAGGGCCTGAGTTCAATATCCAGCAACCACATGATGGCTCACAACCATCAGCAATGAGACCTGATGCCCTCTTCTGGCCTGCAGGCAGAAGACTATATATAATAAATAATAAATCTTTAATTTATAATAATAAATCATAAATTAAAAAATTTATTATGAAAAGAAAAAAACCAAAATCTTTAAAGTTAAAACTTCTAAAAATCAGCCTTCAGGAAGAATTCAATCTTATTTTGATTAGCAACAAATCACTTTAATTTGCTATATGTTCTAAATATTTGAAAACTCATTATGAAATCCCTGGCATAAATAATTTGAAGGATAGGCGTGGAATATTCATGTATACTTGTGTGCTGTTGTACCTCTGCACAGGGTGCAGATACTACCATAAACTCATCACACACAGGAAAGAATGAAGGTTCATTCTCCTTTCTTCCTATGTTTCAACTGCCCCTGAGATGCTTTAAACTGTCCAGTCACCCCATCAGTCATGGGCTCCCAGCTTACAAGTGTCGAAAATTATTTGGGCAAAGACCAACAGACAATGTAAAACAATTCGATAGTATAAATCCCTACATAGTCCTCAAAGCTACCGGGGGAAGAAAATAAGGCATACATATTTAGTTAACTTTTGCTTTAATATGGCAATAAGTTATTTTGATAAAAATTACAAATTCAAACTCAAGTATTTCTGATTTCATGGAGGTAATAAGCACTCTGGCATCTAGAACAGCAGCAAACAATAAATCCAACATTATTTCTCCTGTTAAGTATCTACCATTGTGTTCTTTCAGGAACCTTGTAGCAGGCAAAGGTAGAACAGACCTTTCCCCTATCCAGCTGACATTGCTCATAAATTAGTACATCAGGTGTTTTCCTGAGCCTACATTTTTGTACATCTATCTCACTGTCCACATCCTCCCTCTGTGAACTATTACCTGTATTAACTCACTCCGGGGCAATGCTGACAAGGGGACATCCAAAACTCATTCTTGGGCAGAAACAAGAAGCCAACAGCACTGTGCTGTGTTCTTACACAGCATCCTCCATGGCTCACATGGCTGAGTACTACTATAAAGCACACTCTAGAAATTGAGCCAGAAGCAGTGGTGCATAAGCCTGGCACCCAAAAGCCCGAGGCAGGTCAGCCTGAGTGACACAGTCTGTCTCAAAAAGAACAAAAAAGAGTAATTCAAGTCTTCAATTTTTTTTGTTTTGTTTTTGATAAAAACATACATTTCTATCATCACTTCTGAAAGCAAACCCTTGGAATTCTGATATACTTTAAATCCTGTAATCAGTTTAGACATTTAATTTATTGGAACGCTTTTGTCAGGGGAGGGGAAGGGTTAATTTCATGTTGTGTTCAGACAGTCTCACCCTTTAGCCCACACTGGTCTTAAACAGTCAATCTTCTTGCCTCAGCTTTCTGAGTGCCGGAGAAGTGTGCACTATCATGTCTGGTTCTGGTTCGAATACTCTTAGACACGTATGGAGCAGGGTAAGGTATCCATACCTCAAATCTCAGCATCATGAGACAGAGTAGGTAAACAGATCTCTGTGAGTTCCAGGCTAGGCAGAGTCCACCCCTTCTCCCCACAAAAAGAAAGCATAACAAATATGGTACATAAGAAAAACAAGTTAAATCTTACCTCAAGCATGACCAGTCTAATGACACCAGTAACAGTAATACTCTTTTCCATGACGGCATGAACGACACATAAAATTGGAGACTTTTTTCGAGACAGGGTTTCTCTGTAGCCTTGGAGCCTGTCCTGGAACTAGCTCTTGTAGACCAGATTGGCCTCGAATTCACAGAGATCCGCCTGCCTCTACCTCCCGAGTGCTGGGATTAAAGGCGTGCGCCACCACTGTCTGGCCTATACAGGCTATTTTTAAATCACTATCTTTGAACGCTTTCAATTTGGAAAACACATTATGAAGCATTCAATGAGTGCTGGAGATGCAGCTGTGCAGAGCCATGGCCTCGAGTGTACACTGATCTCCAGCACAGCAAAGAAACAAACTAAAAACACATAGCTTACAAACGAGGGCTGGGATGAATCGAAAGCTTGATAATGTTGCTGGGTTTATTAAGTCAATTGCTCTGACACAGATAGCTGACACTAGGAATACACAGGGTGGGGGTCAAGAGTCTGTTTGGAATAAGTTCTTCGCAGCCCAGACTGGTTTTGAACTCCTGATCCTCCTGCCCAGGCTTCCTGAGCGCTAGAATTACAACTGTGACCATGATGCCCAGGCTGAAGCACACGCATCATAAATGGCAGGACTGAAAAGCGTTGAGGACTCATTTGCTCACAATCCATACAACTGTTTCCGGCATGATTAATTTTAAACTATGCACATCCTCCAATTCTTCCAGTCTGTCAACATAGTTGCTTTCCTGATTACACATTAACTAGAAACTAGGTTCAACAGTTGTTCCTCCAATCACCTGGCAAAGATGTCACAACTGTCAACTCATTTTACCAACTGGGCTGCCCTCTACTGGATAACTTAAGGCACTGAGACAAGTCAGTGCGCTTGGTTTCACAAAGCAATACAGACAAATGTAAACATTCCATATTCCAAACAGAGGTTCCCTGAATAAGTTAAAAAAACACCTCGAAACACAAACCCTTCAGTTAGTCTTTACCATGGAAAGAACACAGTGCCAACTCCACAAGGAACGTCAGTCATCCTGAGAACCCACAATAGAGTTCTAGCCCCCTTTCTAACCTTGGAGGCAGATCTGAAACAGGAATGGGCAGGGGTAATGGGCACACTAATCTTTCATGATTTTATGGTAATGTAAATCTCGTTTTTAGTCCATTTACTCTATGATGTCTTCTTACACATAAGCACAACTCATGGCAGATTCATGCTGAGTATCTGATAGTCATAAGCCTCTTGAGCCTTTTCTTCTGTGATGATATCTAGCTGTTCTTCTGTGGCTCATCCCCACGCCTGTGATTTGCAGTAATGTAGGACCAGTTTACCATCACTGCCAAAACACTACAGAAAGAAAAAAACAACACATTAAACACTAACTCTTTTTAGATTAAGAAAGAGTTCTATAACATACTACATTTCCCAAAGGATACCTCTATCATACATATCAATATTATACACACTCAACAAAACCAGGGTACCTGGGTATGGGCTTAAATACCTTCACTGCCTTCATGACATCTCTGATCAGGTATTCTCAGCTCTTTCCTGGCAGCGCTAGTCTATCTACTCACGACTATTGTCATGAAGCAGCACTGTCAAGAAGGTCACTCTAGTGCGGCTTTATCAAGTACGGATGGCAATGAACAATGCAGAAGTGATACAGATTAGACAAAATTTCTAAGAAAAGCAAAAATTACTTCTAAATAAAACTTATCCCTTGACTGTTTAAGCTTAATTATAAAGATCCTACTATGTTAAAGGTGTTCATGATATAAGAGAACAAAGGGCTCTCCCCCACTGATAGTTAAGATGGCATGCTAGCTCTTAAAGACGCGAATCAACAGTCCACACTGTTCAATAGACACAATACCCATGAGGGCAGGTTACTCACCTCATATAGAGTTCCAACTTCTTGGTCTGGGGAAGGGGCAAAGGATTGGTTCACATAAATAAACTAAAGGGAAAAAAAATGGATTCAAAATGGTATCCTTTTTGTAACTAAGACATTTTTAAACACTGTGTATGGTGTTTATGCCAGAGATCAACACTGGGCATCCTTGGTGGCTCTCCTGCTTGAGACTGAGCCCATCTCTGAGTCTGAAACTCACCTAATGGCAAGTCCGGCTGGTCACTGAGATCCAGAGTCTGCCCATCTCCCCACCAGGCACTGGGGTCACATAGACCAGCACAGGGCCCTGAGGTCCCTAGGTACTAGATCTTCATCTTTGTGGATGGAAGGCCTTTATAGACTGAACCAGTTCACTAGATAAATACATTTTAAGTAGTTTTTCACAAATAGTTTTTTGGAAGGATATTCAAAACACTACATTGACAAAATGCCTACTTGGCATAGCAGCTCCTGACTGTAATCCCAGAAGGTGAGAGTGCAGGATTGCCCATGACTTCAAGGCCAGCCTAGGCTACACAGTGAGACTACCCCAAAAGAAGAAAAATAATTCCCACTGAGCCAAGATAAAATTTCTTCTACTAATTTCACATTTGCAGTTAAAAATCAATACATTTGATATTGGGCATTTTCCTCGGGTATGTTATATACGTTTTTTTCTCCTTTTTTTCTTTTAATCTTTACTACTTTTGAAAAATTTCTGAGGTACTGAGTTTTAAGCTGAACATTCTTAGTATTAAATTAGTTGAAGAGAAAAAAAGAATTCATTGTTCTAGACTTTTAATCAATTTTAAATTAAAAATATTTCTAGTGCTTAAAGAATTCCTAAATATATTAAAGCAAAAGGTCATAGTGTCGAGGAGGCTTTTGATCAACTTCTTTTTAGAAAATAGAAGAAAACTGGCAGGTAACATCCATCTCAAAATCTAAGGATAAAATATTCTAGGCGTAACAACTCTCTCTCTTTTAAACAGAAAGAATATGTGAACAGTTTAGTCAACAGGTATTATTTATACAACAATAAATATTGGTTAAGTTTTTTCCTTCAGTACTGAATGAGACAATTAAGAGTCATGGCCCTAAACACAAATAACATTTCATGGCCCACTCTATGTATACGAGCAGTACTGAAAATAATAGTATCTATATCTCATGGGGCTACTCAGAGCAAACCACATCAAATAACATATAATGCCAAGCACAGCTATGTGCTTTAGTGATGATTTAGTTTAGGAAGGACTGTATTCATGGTCATGGTCCTGCAAGATCCTGTCTTCATGAGACAGGCTATTTTAATCAGTGTAACCATACTCTAAGACGTTCACACAAAAACAAAAGTGTCTAATAATGTATTTATCAAAATGTATCCATTGCTAACTGTGGAGATAGCTCAGTTGGTAAAGTGCTTGATATGCAAGCGAGAAGACCAGAGTTCTACCCTCACATACTCCCAGCAACAGGGAGAGGGAGACGGGGACTCCTGGGACTTACTGGCTAGCCAGTTTAGCCTGCTTGGTAAGCTTTAGGCCAATGAAACTGTCTCAAAGAACAAGATGGATGGCAACTGAAGCATGATGCCTGAGGTTCTTCAAAGAAACAAAACCCTTATCACAACTAAAACCTAAATAGAGTGCTTACTATATTGTATACCATGAAATAGGTATATGAGTCTTAGTTCTTCAACCATATGTGAAAGACACATTGCTTACCTCAAGAACAATAGGACAAAAGTAATACAGAATCAAAGTAATTTAAACACCAAACTGTACTAATATACAGAGTTCATATAATGTTCTATGACAAATATTTCTGCATGGATATTCAGTGATACTTTGAGGAAAATAACTAAAATGCCAGCCTTAAAAAATACAAAACAAACAGACTGGAAAGCAGCAACAGTAATGATAAACATGATGTTAAGGGCTTGGGATAAGTAATCACACTTCCTGCCCGATGACCTGACATAATTTCCAGGAACATGGTGGACGGAGAATCCACTCCCAAGCACTGTTCTGACCACTGCATGTACATGGCAACCACCTTCAGAGGTAAACAATAATAACAACCGTGTTCGAGAGCAAAGGAAGAATCTGCTCAAAAGTCCATAGAACAAAAGCAATGTGTAGCTTTGTACGTATACGTGTTACTCAGGGTTGCCTAGGAACTACTGTGGATTTTTATAGGCAAACAATCATTATTGTATTCATACCAACTGTTCCGAGGCCACGAGTTTAAGGAACTTTTTGATGAAGTCAATGAGTCCTTGGATGGTTCGGGTTCGCTCCACAGCCCATTTCTTTGTTTTCATTATAGGGGTATCTCCTACAGCCTTCAGCAGGATGTCAACTTCAAAAAAATTGTTTTGAAACATCTGATGAGAAGGTGATGTGAAACCGTTCAGAAAACAAACTTTATCTACAATTACTTTTCTGGAGCTATGTGAGAAATACGAAATATTAGACTCTTCTCTACTATTTTCCCCCTTAATCCTACAAAGTTCTTTCTAATGAGACTAATCTTTAAGACACATTCGACACGAGAGAACTCTAAAAGATAATAAATCGATCTAGCCCATGATATAAATAATACCCAAACCAAGTTAAAAAAAAAAAACTCATCCATTTTTCACCTACAAAATTGGTGGTAAAAATAAGATGGTAATGTAGGTAATGCTGCCACCGCCACTGTAACATGGCATGCCTTTCTGGAAAGCAATATGGTAATACATATCCGATACTTGGAGATACACCTTGACTCAATAATATACTACTTAAAATCTAAAATAGCTCGAGATTTATAAAGATTCATATAAAAGGATGTCACCTTTATCAAAACATTTATTTTTACAGGGGGGAAAAGCAGTAAATTTACACATTCAACAATATGTAGGTAGGATTAAATAAAATATGAGCTGCTTTATGGCAGAATTTATAGAGAAAGGACACACATTCCAAATTGGGTCCAAACTATGGCTCTGTCTCTTGTAGAGCTACAAACACTAAACTCTTTCACTCTCAAACCCCTCCTGTAACAGCACCTACCTCACAGGGCTGATATGAGGACTAAGTCAGTTAATGCACGTTCACAGCAGTACCCAGGCCATAAGTTATACTAATAGAAGCTTAAGCTTATAAAGAGATGTTTAAGAATACAGTTTGGTTTTTGAGACAGGGTTTCTCTGTAGCTTTGGAGCCTGTCCTGGAACTCGCTCTGTAAACCAGGCTGGCCTCGAACTCAGAGAGATCCTCCCGCCTCTGCCTCCCGAGTACTGGGATTAAAGGCATGTGCCACCACAGTCTAGCTTCAAGAACACATTTTAAAAGCAGTTAATAGTTTAAGAAGCTGAGAAAAATGTGCAAAATAGAAAAACGTGTGTATACAACCCCAACTTCATTCAGAATCACATACACATATTCAGATTAGTATAGCATCAAAATGTTACTTCGTAGTAGTGACATATGGCTTTTTGTAAATACTAAATTTTCTATACTTAACTTTTTAATGAAAAAAATCCCTATTACTATAATGGTGTATTATTTGTATTTTAATAAATAAAGCTTGTTTGAAGATCAGTGCAAAGCAGACACACTAGTCAGCCATACAGGCCAGGCAGTGGTGGCTCACACTTTTAATCCCAGTAGCCAAACTAGCTAGTCATAGAAGCTGGGCAGTGGTGATGCATGACTTTAATCTCAGCCCTAGAGAGGAATATAAAACGGGAGGAGACAGGTCTCATGCTGTCTCAATCTGAGAATTTCTGGAGGCAGGATCACCCATTTTTGGTCTGAGGTAGAGGTAAGAGCCAAGTGGCTAGCTGCTTTGCTTTTCTGATCTTCAGCTTGAATCCCAATATGTGTCTGAGTTTTTATTATTTGTGTTACACACTATTAAAAAAAAATCAGGGGCCCAAAAAAGTTTCAAAGAAAGCAGTAATATTTCAATGATTCAAAACACAGATGTAGATGAAAGTTTCTGTCCCGCCTGGTCCCACAGCCGTTCAGTACCAAACAAACACAGTGTTTGGACTATCAGCTCAGGCTTATTATTAACTAGCTGTTACAACTTAAGTTAACCCATAATTCTTGCCTAAGTTTAGCCACACTGCTTGGTATCTTTTCTCAGTAAGGCATTCTCATCTTGCTTACTCTGTGTCTGGCTGGTGACCGTGTCTCTGCCTTTCATCTTCCTAGAACTCGTAAGTGGCCTATACTTCCTGCCTGGCTACTGGCCAATCAGCATTTTTAAACAAATCTTTACAGTGTACTAGAGCATTATCTCACAGCACACAGATATGCAAATAAAGACTGATCACCTTAATGAAGTTTATTTCCCTTAAGAGACACCTACAACCAAAGCTGCCCCGAGAGCAGAACTGTCCAATTGTTACCACACTCTTGCCCCATTTGTTTGGCATTCAAAGTTGGGATCAACTTATTCAAGTTTCCTCCTGAAGCTAGGTGTGGTGGTGCAGGTCTTTAATCCCAGCACTTAGGAGGCTGAGGCAGATGGATCTCTGGGAGTTTGAGGCCAGCCTGGTCTACAGAATGAGTTCCAGGAGATCACATCTCGTCCTGAAATGAAACACAGGATCTAGAACATATGATGCAGCTCATCTTCCTGGAAAAGAACTATGTAAATGCCCTTTCAGTTATTTTGGGAATAAGGATGAGTTGGGAATGCATAAAGGTGATTTTGGTTAGCCTATCTTTCATATCTTCCTCCCCAGTTCCCTCGACCCCTGGAGCAACCAATAACTCGGCAGCAATTAGGCACTGAAATGTACTACTGAAGAAAGAAGAGCCAGAGGGCAAGAAGCTGGAGACACAGTAATTTATAGTAATTATGTAGTAATTACAGCTGTAGTCTTAGTTCCCAAAATGACTTGCTTGTAGCTCTGAACCCTGACTACACATTAGAATCAACCGGAGAAGTTAATATACACAGCAATTAAATCGCAATCTTTTGCAAAGTAGGACCTTAGTACTGGTATTTAAACGCTCGGCCCGGGAAGCCTGTGCCAGCAGGGTCAAGAACATGCCATCTTTCTCTGGCAAATTACAGTGGAAATGTGAAATATCTGATAAAGAAATTGTCTACAAAAGGATGAAAATAGGAATTCAACTTGTCAGAGAGAGAGAGAGAGAGAGAGAGAGAGAGAGAGAGAAAAAGAAAGGAAATATGGAGACCCAAACAAACATAGCCACCTCAGGCATCATCTTGGATTATGGGTCATTTTCTAGTTTTTGTTTGATTTTTGTATAGCAACCATCAGTGTGAAAGACTAAAACTTTGCCTGAGATGGCTAGGTGTTTTTGTTTGTTTCTGGCCCGGGGATGGCTTTGACCATACAGAGATTTGCTAGTCAAAGGCTTCTGAATGTTAGGATTAAGAGTGTATGTCACCATTCTCGGCCTGGTGCTTCCATCTTAAAGGAAACCTTTGAAAGTGAGCTTGCTACAACTAACTAGAGGAAAAAAAATATTAGGACTTTTCTTTTTCCAGGTTGACTGGTTATCTGTCAAAATACTAAGTACAGCATATATATTCATGGCAGATTTCCTCCAACCGCAAGGTCATTTTTTTTTTTTTTCTGTCTAGATGAGCTGGGACTTGAACCCCTGGACCTTTAGTACCGTTTTACTACTGAGCGACATACACCTGCATTTCCCCCAGAAGCAGTGCTGGGAAACAATTCTCCTGTGCTGCACAAACAAGCTGGTGAGATTAAGGAGCAGAAGAGACACCCGGATCTACATTTTATGTCCCTGAAAGGAGAACAATCAAGGACAAGGTCTACCTTTTCCATTGATACGTGTTAATTTGCTGATTTTTTTCTTATAGTCAAATCTCACTTTACAGTGTTCAGGGCAAGTTAACCTCAATTTCCTTATTTTCCAGCGGCAAACATATATGACAATACAGAGGCAGAGGACAGCTAGTTAAAAGAAATATTCAATGTTGCACCAAAAAAGGCACGCCCCCCCATCCCAAATAAATAGCTAACTAAAAGGTGGCACCTATACCTTGAGTTTTCCCTTAGCATTCTTCACAGTAGCTAAAGTTCCAGGTTTTCATTCTACAGAATGAATCCATATTCATTCCATTACTGTTTCATTCATATCCACATTGGGGGAAGCCAATAGCGAAACTCGTCACAATTCGTGGACTGTACTCCACTAGTCGCCCCTGTCACCTTACATTTTGATTTCAGTAACTTCTGTTCTACCCGGAGGTACCAAGAGCTCACTCGCAACCCAGCTTCAAACTGCTCGAAGGCTGACTACCTCCAAGACCCCGTAAAAAGTGCGAAGGATGGCGAATCCGGGTACCACCCGGATCACGTAGGCACCCAAAAGGCGCGAACACCGGCAAGAGGAGAAAGAGCACCTCTGGGACGCGCCCTTCTCTAGCTTTCGCTTCTTTACGGGCCGCCTCCCTTACAAACTCTATTACATCTCCCGCCTCCGCACACAAATGGATGTTGACATTACTTTTTTTCTTGGTGTCACCGGGAGGCTCCTCCGTCCCCGGGGAGACTGTGGCCGAAGACGGGGGCTCTGGGGTGGCAGTTTCCGGGGAGAGCTCCGAAAGGCTCTCGCCGCCGGCCGCGGCGGCTGAAGGAGGAAGCTGCAGCAGAGCTTCGGGATCTTCCGCCATCTTGCTCGCCGAGAGTGGATGGCGGAAGTGACGTACCCGGTGCAGAGGGTGGGCCTTGCTCCACGGAGGGTCGCAAAGCAGGCGCCGGGTGGGGGGACCCGGGACAACAGTGAACTTTGGGGTGTCTGGAGAGCGGTACATTAGATGATCCGTTGGAAACACCATTTAAAAGAGTTCTGAGTGTCATCTACTCGCAGTGAGCTTCCGGAACGTTCCACGACGCGGCTCCGTGCGCCACCAGATGAGTACGTCCCCCCTCCCTCCAGCAAGTTGGCTCCGGCCCGGGACGCTTCCGTTTCCTTCCGACCTGCCCCGCCCAGGTCCCGCCTCCAGGCCCCGCCCCACGGCGCGGGAGCGCGCGCGCGCGTGCGGGAGGGGGCGGGTGGGGAAGCAGTGGCTGCAGAGCTCCCGGAGGCGAGGCTCGCACGCCCGCCCCCGCCCTGGCCCCAGCGCCCACCCGGTCGGCCCGGCCCAGCCATGATCAAGGCCATCCTCATCTTCAACAACCACGGGAAGCCGCGGCTCTCCAAGTTCTACCAGCCCTATGTGAGTATGCCCCTGCCGCGGACCCGGGGAGAGGGCGAGCGCCGGCGCAGGGCAGCGCCCAGCGGCTTCCTCCGAACGACCCTCGCGACGCCGCGGCCCTCCCCGCGTCCGACTCCCTGCACCGCTGGCCCGCCTGTCACCTCGGGCAGTGGGAGCCGCTTGCCACTCCCCGCCGGCGGCTCGCCGTCTGTGGGCGAGGCGGTTCGTCCGCCGCGAGGGGCGCTGCCCACCTGCCCGGCACCTCCGCTCCAGCACGGCGGCCGCGCCGCTCCCAGTCCCAACTCCCTTGTCGCCCAGCCTGGCCAGGTGGATTGCTTTCTGTCGCTCGGGGACAGATGGGCCACTGTGCTGTCCGCCCTAATCCCCGGCGAGCTCAGCAACTTTGGCTCCCCGCACGCCCTGGCCGATGTGTGCAGTGTGTTTCCATATGGAAGCCTCACAACCCCCCGTGTGACTGTTGAGGAAATTAAGTGGGAACCTGGCGTTGGGATTGGGGTTTTAACCTACCGTCTGAATCTACTCTTGACTTAACCTGGCAGCCTAAGTCGTTGACCCATCAGAAAGGGACTCTGCATCTCGGAGTTAACGATTTCATTTTGGTGTGGTTTTTCTTCTTTAAACCAAAACATAAGGGCATTTGCCCTGAGTTTTGGTTGACAGGAAATAGCATCTGTGAAAGTTCTCTTCTCGAACTGTGAACATTGGTTAATATTGCTAGGAGCAGAAGACTTTCAAGCTACGAAGACCACTTATAAACGATGGAGGAGAGGTGATAGGTTCCTATGCCTTACCTGAGGGCAAAACTCAGACTAGGTCATGGTCATGAGCTGTCATTTGTAGGGTGAGCTCTGTAGCTGTCTTGGGGGCGTTTTGCGTGTAGCCAGACATGGACTTTGAATTTAGTGTTGAAAATATGCCAACACCGACACTTTATGCGCGTGGCCCCAGATGGAAATTATTCCTGCCATTAGAAATGAAACGTGAAAATGTCAGCTTGCCTGAAGTGATAATGCAGTCTGTGGAGGTGTTGGCTGAAGTGAGAAATAGAGCTGCTGCATTTCCTTAAGTTGCTTCGCTTTCCCTGATGCTAAAGAACACTTTGCTCTACTTTCCGCGTGGTTTTTTATCGTTAGTATAACTAAACGCTAATGGGCTGCTTAAAAAGTCTAGATCGTTCTTGAGTCCAACATAAAATTCTAGTTGTTCCTTCTGAGGAAAACAATGCCATTAGCTTGACATTACCTGATTGCCTAAAATGCCCTTGTTGAGCGCCTTGCTGTGCAGAAAAGGCACGTACCAATAGTGAAATCACATCGAAGAGTTTTGTTTTTCTTTCTGCATTTAAATCTGCACATTTAAGTAGTAATCCGTCTTGCCTGGTGATGAAGATCTGTAATTCCAGCTACTCAGGAAACTGAGACAGGAGTATTGGAAGGTCAAGACCTAGGCTATGAGTTCAAGATCAGCCTGTGCAATTTAGTGAGACCCTGTCTCAACATAAAAAGTAAAAAGTGGGCTAGTGATAGTGTTTCTCACGTCCACAAGGTCCTGGCTTCAATCCCTAGGATTATAAATTTAATTATTAAGCACTATTCAGAATAGTCCCAATAGGTCCCTTGGCTAATCGATAATTTCATGGTAATCACTACTATAGGTAGACTTAAATCATATGAAGTATAAATTTAACTTGGAAATCTAGAAATACAGCTTTGTCCAGCAGTGGAAGCAGACTTGTCTTTTACCTTTCATTATTAGGTAATGTGGAGAAGGTGTGCAGCTGAAGCAGCTGTGGTGGCACTTTTTTGGTCACTGAGTGACAGTGCTGCTGGCTGCGTGAGGCTGGACGGAATTTAAAGGGTCGCGGGCTGAATAGAGGTGGTGCGCCAGAACTGTTTCTCTGTCAGCCGCTACAAATTGGATCTTCCCGACTGTGTGCTAAATGGTCTTTCAGAAATAGTTGAAAGTAATTTATTTCTTTGCTTCTTGCAGTAGACTATAACCCCTGTGGGGTTGTATTTTTCTATTTTTCGTTCATTTATTCCATTGTCATCAAATGTTTACTTCATACCTGCCACATGTAGGCACCATAAATGAAGAAACACATCCACTTTTTGCTTGTAGGAGGATGTAGACATGGCTAACAAATAGCCTGTATGATATTACAGGTATTAATAGAAATAAATGATGTGGAAAATAAATCAAGACGAAGTAGGGACCGTGAGCATGACAATTTAAAATACTGCAGCCAGTTACATTCTCACCAAGAAGTAATGTTTAAGCCAAGTATTGAGCGTGGTAAGAAAAGCAGCCTTGCAGAGAGATACCTGGGGGAAAGGGCATTCCAGGCAGAGATAAAGGAGTGCACACATGCAAAAGTTGATGTTTGGAGAAGGAATATCAAGAGCACACGCCTTACAAGTGGAGACTGTCAAGGAAGTATGCTAGGAAATGGTCATTCAAATGTAGCCCTTTTGCATTGCCTGAAATTCCTTTCTTCTTTTTGTGGCAGACCCAAATCGAGTCCTTGTTCTTTGCTTAGCCCAGACACCATGTATAGTATTTTCTGAAGGGGTTTGCCCTGCTGCTGCTCTTGTCTTAGAACTTGTGGTATGATACTCTGCTTCACAGCCCTACGTCCTTGGGACATCCTATTGAATTTTTGTTTGAAGATGTAATTTAAGCATATTTGTGTCATTTCCAGCAGTCAACATTGAGTCTTTAATGTACTGAGCTTTTTAAATTTTATTGTGTGTATGTGCTTGTCTGTGTCTGTGCGTACCACATGTGCACAGGTGCCCGCCGAGGCCGGGAGTGGGATCCGCTGGAACTGGCGTTTCAGTTGGTTGTGAACTGTCTGCATGCAGTAGGTGCTGGGAGCCAAGCTTTACCCTCTGCAGGAGCAGTCAGGTCTCTTAACCAAACTGGCTCTCTGGCTCCTGCAGTGAATTCCTAAGAAACTGTTGTTAAATGCTTTCCTTTGGAATCTAGCTTTGGGATAAAAGTTGAATTAAAATTGATTGTTAAATTTCCTTCTGTTTTAGTTTTCCACTAAGTTTAGTTGTACACTAAGCAGAGATTTTCAGAATCTATGTCTTCAGCACGAACATAATGGTGGAATAGCTGTTATTTCTTTCCTGTGTAAAGCTGGGAGACGTCTCTTAAGAAGTGTTCTTCAGGTCTGTCCAGTGGCTCATCTGGGAAGGCATTTCCTGCCAAGCCTGGCAACCTGAGTTCCATGCCCAGAACCCATGTAGTGGGAGGAAAGAGCCCTCTTTTATGGTGACCTCTGACCCTTTGGTGTCTTCCTCACACAAATAAATTGAAAAATGTACTTTATTTAAAAAGAAGTATATCCGATAAGGTCAGTTTTGAGTTAAATAAATTAAGCAATATTTCAGGATATTTTTAGGCCAACGTTTCTGTGCCCTGACAGGATGCTGAGGTTTAAGTTCAACATTTTGGGTTAATACTAACAGTTTGAAAATTGCTTTACTTTGACATGTTTCCCTACTACGATGGGTTTTCGCTCTTCATTTGGGCTTCCTCAGGATATCACATATGTGTGGTCATTTCTGCCCCTTTGTACCGTAGCCTTGGCCATGCCTCTCGGTTGGTGTCATTTGTGAGACATGAAGTAACACGTGTTTTGTAGTCTTTGCTGAGTTAAACTTTTGGCTCTTTCCACTTAAGTCAGATATTAAGAACGGCTGGGCTGATTACTTCCCCTTTTGTTTTGCCTGCTATATCCTTGAGCTTGTCATTTCTAAACTTCTGCAAGTTTAGCATTTGTGTGTGTGCACATTATCTTTCAAGTCATGCTTACCCACAGCAATCTGGCAATAGTAACTTTTAGTCTTAACAGTTACCTAGTAATTATTTGTATACTACTAACATTTAAAACAGATGTTTTTTTTACATAGCTATTAAACATGAAAGCAACAACAAAACCTCCTTGGGCTATACGATTTCTCTGTTATTGGTAAATCAAAATGTATTTAGTGAATCATGCTGATAAAGTAGAAGGACATTGTGAGTTGCTGTCCTTGTTTCCGCAGATACTAAAGATTACCACACTTTAAAATACAAGCAGAAACAGCTGTAAACTGTAAAATACACGAGTTACCCTAATATATGTATGTTAAGCTGTGTTTAAGTATTAGGCTGTTTAACAACTTCCAGCACTAGAAAGACTGTCCTTTCAATCCTCAAATATGAAGTTCTGAACATGACGCTTTCTTTTAAACATCTTTAATAAGTTGTAGCTGTGCTTATTGGTTTCCTTTAGTGACTTATGACAATGTGGCAGGATAGTTAGATGCATTTTGATTTTCACCTTTTCCCCATCCTGGACATGAAGCCTAGAGCTTCATGTATGCTTGGGTATGCCGTACCACTTAGATACACCCCAGCCAGTTGTTAGCCAGGTGTGGCACCCCGCTGTAGTCCCAGTACTCACAGCTAGGAGGGAAGTTGAGGCAGGTAGCTCACTTGAGCCCATGGATTGGAGACCAACCTAAACAATGTTGAAATATGGAGCTGCGGCGGGGTTGCGTCCCCAACACCCCGGCCGCTTGGCTAGCTTATGCCCGAAATAACAACACACAAACTGTATTCATTTAAGAACTGCTTGGCCCATGAACCCTAGCCCTTACAGGCTAATTCTCGCACCTGGACTAGCCCATTTCTAATGATGTTTGTAAGCACCTCAAGGTGCGCTTACCAGGAAGATTCTAGCCTCCGTCCATCATGGTGTCTCTGCTCCAGAGCCGCAGAGCTGTTGGGTCTCTCCGGGAGCAGAGCAGAGTCTGACCTCACTTCCTCTTCCACCCAGAATTCTATTCTGTTTTCTCCTCCCATCTATGTTCTAAGCTATGAGGGCCAGCCAAGCAGTTTCTTTTATTGCTCAGCCAATGAAATCAACAGATTGATATGACACTCCCACAGCAAAACAACATAGGGAGACTGTTTCAAAATTTGAAACAAAATAAAAATTTAAGAGG